GGCCCCGCCATGTCCTCCCCAGTGCGCCACACACGAGGGGGCTGGGGCATGTGGGGTGGGGGGCAGCGAGTCGGGACTGGTCACTGATGTTCACAAATGGGTCCTGGTACAAAAAAGTTAAGAACCACTGATCTAGGTTGTTCATAGGAAAGTCCTTAAGCTATTGGTTCCTGCCCACCCAGGTTAGAAATTGCTAACAGTAATGTCATTAAAAGCCACAACAGGAACATCTTCTCCATGCAGGGAGCAGAGTCTACACAGCCTGAAACAAGCACAGGAAAAACCAGGTTAGATAACAAACCTGTGACTTTCCTTGCACATTGTGCTCTTTCGCTAATAGATGAACTCTTCTGGGTAGGCAAGCTAAGGCTATAAAGTATGCGCATGTGCACAGAAGCAGGGAGTTTGGTGTTCACTGTACACAGTTCCCTTTCCGGTGGATACCCAGCAAGTGAAGGATTCTGGATATTTGGGCACCGAGTTTAGCACCAGCTCTGGATCTGCTCCCTGAGTTAATGCTGGGTTCCCTATGGAGCAGCCATTGCACAACTGTGGGCAGAAGCGGCCAAAGGCAATGCATGCCCTCCTAGAGCTGTGCTGCCAAGGAGTGTGGAAGGCAATGGGGTAAGGTGAGGAGCCCTGAGTTGGTCTGGGTTAGGGGTCTGAAACCACCCCCACTTCAAGAGGGTCAGTGGAGAAGACAACCTTGCGCATTGCGTCTCGCAAGGCTGTCCCATCTCTGCACCATGAATGGCTTGTGTTGGATGAGGTGCAATGGCTGGTATGGAAAACAACCAAGCCACAGCTGGTGGGGGTAAGGGAGAACCAGGTTAAGGAAAATCCCATCCTTAACCCCCAGCTAGAACCACCAGGTACTTGGCCTGATGCACCTTAGTGTATTAGACTTGTATGCAGCCATCCAGTTCCTGCCTTAAATGTTAATTCAGCTCTAGTCCATCCCCCTCACTGAAAAATCAACTATTCAAAAAGTAATCCCTTATCAGGCTCTCCTTGCATGTGTTCCTTCTTAGCGTAAGCCTTTATCCTGTCATTCTGCCCTGGCCAAGGACCTCAGCTAGCTGCTCCTGCTTTGCTTCATAATAGCACTCATCTAATTTAAATACTTCCATCTGGCCACCTCTGAACTGCCTTCCCTAGGGCTAAAGCCATCCAAGTGCTTTGCATTCACTTCTATAGATGTGCCCAGTTCGGCAGGAATCCTGGCAAAGCTGCCTGTACACCAGGTATCTTTCCATGTAGCCTTCTTAACCCTCCTGTTCACCTCCCAGGGATGAGCTGAAGGATTTTTCGATGGGCATTCTGGTCAGGTTTAGGTCATGGGCTGGGGTTCTGATTTTTATAGGGCTGAAACCCCCCAGTCTGTCCTCTGCAGATCTCACCAGCTTGGCAAAACTTTTGAGTTGCCGACTATATCCTAAGCAGGACTATAGCCTTTGTGTTCCAGAGCTCAGCAGAGTGTTATTTTTGGTAAAATGGGACTATTCATTCAGACCCAGAAATGAAGCCCTAGGGGAAAGTGTAATCTATGGATTCCTATCCCACTTCCCACAAATCAGGAAGTTTTTGGAGTTGAGGTTTGAGTTCCAGATCACTCTGCCTCTGCCACTGTGCCTCTGTTCCCCATCTAGACAGTGAGTGATACTTTGAGGCTGGGAAATACGATAAAGACATTAGTGTTTGTGTCAAGCTGGTACCACAATGCTGGTGATAGTGGAAGCAACTAAATAAAGGAGTCAGTATCAGTGCTGAGTCTGAATCTTGGCTCTTTCTGGTGTCCAGGTGTATCCTCCGCCCACAGCACACTCTTGTAAGCATTGCATGAAGAAACGTGTTGCACCTTTAGGGGGATTAAACCAGTATCCCTGCATCCTCCTATAACTTCACGTTTGGTGTTCAGGCATTGAGAAATGAGCAAGCACAACTGATGTGCAAAGACTGAAAAGCAAACCTTGTTGGGTTGACTTTGGGAGCTTGGTAACGTTTTTTGAATCTTTCCTACATTGTTTTGAACCTTTTTTTTTGAAGCAGAAAAACATCCATAATAATAGAATGGCACAAAAAAAGGAATGTATGGCTTGATTGTCCTGAGAATTAATAATACATATTTTATAGACCCACTACTTTGTCCTCTGTTGACCTATTGTAGATTTTCTGCCCCATGAATCATCTGCCCCATATAACGACCTCAGGGAGATTAGGCTCTGGTATTACTTGCATGCCTATACAGATAGGGTCACATTATTCATCTCTTATCTGTTCAGTTCCCTTAGTAATGGGGCTTTCGTCCAGCATAACTGGGTCTAAATTTGCACTAATAATAGCGATGCTTTTCTCTTCCTTAGTGTGCTATGTGTGAAGGTGCTCAAAGTGATTAAAAACTTCCCATAGCCTGTGGGCACTCTGGAGCAGGACAGTCTTTGCTCTGGGTTTGCAGAGCACCTTGTACTGGGATTCTGATCTATGGCTGGGTCTTCTAGGTAATTCTGCCATACATATAATAATGAGATGCATCTCTGTGAGGTGCTGTTAATCCTTCACTCCCAGAGTTGCCTGGGATGTACACCAGTGAAATCAGAATCTGGCTCTTGGAAGTCAATTGACTAGCCCAAGGGCACACAATAGAAAGAATTGATCCCAGAAGCCCTGATGTCTTATTCCCCTACCTGAGATAACATAGATATGTACCAGTCATTTGACTAGTGGGAATGTCACTCCAGGAACTTACCAGGCATTGTTCCCCCTCCCTTTTCCATATGCACACAGATGTGTGTTCACTCTCTCTCTCTCTTTCTCTCTCTCTGAAGGGATTTTTTTTTGTAATTTTGAATATATATATTTTAATTTTTGTCTTTCATTAGTATGGGGGCCCCTATCCTACCTTCCCCCTTTTTCTTGGGGCAGAGGAAAGAAAGAAAAGGAGTAGAAACAAAATGAAATTGAAACAAACCTGTTCTTACCTTTGTGGAATATTATACAAAACAGAAAGCTCAGCAACCTCCCCCGCTACAACCCATTCCTGTTGTTTAAAACCCATTTGTTGGAGAGTGGGGTTTTTTGTGTTTGTTTTTGGCCAGCCTAAATGAGCATCAATATCCTCTTCCTGCTTCGCTTTCAATGTGTCACTTTGTCATTCAATACCAACCACACTGGTTGCATACACACATACTGTCTTTCTGACAGTTAAACCAACTTAACTTTTTTAAGTTGATTTAACTATCAGAGCATATACACATATGTGGAGCAGAGTCAAATTAAATGTGGTGCAAGATAATACGCCGCCAAAGTGCATTATCTTGAGTTACATTAGTTAAATTGATTTAGCTCACAAGATTGCTGTCACCTCATCAAGGAGCTATACGTGTGTACACTCCAATGTGACTTAAGTCAATTTAGCTAAGCCAACTTATTTTAAGTCGACTTAGTATGCGTGCACGTATCCACTGTGAACTGAACTTGTACCTTTTTTCCCAGTTTGACCTCTGACTTTGATCTCATATCACAGACAGGTGCACGGCTATGCCTTTACACAATGTAAGTGCTACTGTGGACACAGCTCTGTTGAGACTCATAAAGGCTTTGAATGGACCTACAGGCACAGCATGTTTCCTTCTCGAGAAGATTTTGTCAGGTCAGTGGTACTAGCACTGGGCTTTGTCTCTGTGCCTGTGTGCTCAAGCACTGCTCTGGGTGGGTCCCTCCAGCTCTGTCAGGCCAGTAGCAGGAGGGGAGGAAGTGGGTCCCAATGTTTAGAGCATTTGTCCCTCTCCTCCCCCCCTTCCCGTACATCCCATCTTCCCTTTTCCAGGACTCTTTAGCACTGATAATGCTGCCATCTGCCATCCTCCAAGCAGCTAGGTCCAGAATCTCAGTGCTGACTGCCTCTTTGCTTAGTGCTGTGTCTTCCTTATGGGGATTTCTAATTTCAGTTACACAACCTCTGGAAACCTACGCCTCATAATGGGTCTGTGCCTCCAGCAAAGCAAGTCACTAATAAAGTTAACCTTATGTAACGAGTGTAAGCCACTGCGCTGAGCTCAGAGCCAGCAGATGAAGCTAGGACTGCTTTCACCCAACACTAAGCAGAGTGATTTAATTATTGAACAGTTCTAATTAACACTTCCTTAGGCTGGCTTTGCCTTTGATGCAAATTATCGGACAGACAACAAACAGGGGGAAGGGTGACATGGATGACCCCAAACATTGTTCAAACTAAAGGAAGGAAAATCAGATCTGAACAAAGGTTCAGGGCATGGAAGACTTAGAAAGCACGAGTTTGTACTGGTACATACAAGGAAGAGACAGGAGATCAGGGGGATCCTGTCATGTTGCAGAACAAAATATAGCAATAGGTAGGGGAATTCTTATAAAGCAGGATAGGGCAGAAACGGTCAATTTTATCTTAGAATGATAGGATTGTCATCTGGCTGAAAAACAGAATTCCCTTCGTAGG